TTCATAATTTTAGGTACCTACATTTGTAAAAAAAGTTTTCTTTTTACGGATGAAGCAGGATTTACCAAAAAAGGTATGGGCTGATGAAAATCCTCATGCCACTATTGTTTCGCATTTTCAACATCAGTTCCAACCAATTAATTGGCAATATTTTGATTGGACCATTCGTATTTCTGGCACGATTGAATGGACAACTTTTTTGGAGTTTCTCCAAAACGCTTTTCGGGATTTAATAGAGCCCTTACCACTTGAAACCCGCCTAAACATGTACTTCTTGCACGATGGGGCACCACCTCATTTCAGCGTTGCTGTGCGGGAGCACTTGAATAACCTTTATCCAAACCGTTGGATAGGTAGAGGAGGACCTATTGACTGGCCTCCTCGATTTCCCGACCTTACGCTGATGGATTTTTTCCTGTGGGGATACCTAAAAAAACTTGGTGTATTCCACTCCGATAGATACTAGGGAGGAACTTCTACAGATAATCACGTTTTATTGTGATATGATAAGTACCAATTCTGGGTTATTCTGGCGGGTAAAGCAGTCCTCAATTCGTCGTGCCCGCGAATGTATCAGAGTTCACGGAACCCATGTTAAACCCTCTTATAAAGTTTTTAATTAATTGTTTCGAATTATCGTCCTTTAATTTAAGGTTTGCAACAATACGTGATATTATTTTTTTATGGTCCTTTTTATTAAAAAATAAAACATGAATTTGTTTATTATTCTTTTTCTCGAAAACGGTTTATTTTATTGACAATAAATAAGAGTACTTTTATTTTAGTTTAAGGTTCAAGCTATGCAGATTTAGTTTTTTTAAGTCTTTGTCATACGGGGTGTTCAAAATTTAAGCATTAAAAAGTAAAACTTAGTCCGCCCCTGGTAAACAAAAAAAGCAAAACATGTTTCAATGACACTATTTTAAGAGGTCCTTACCAGGGTCCATCATATTAAATTTTTATTAAATTATATTTAGTACTTTAAAAGTTATTCAAGGAAAACCAATTTGCAGGGGAGTCCTTTCGGGGCCCATGTATCCGTAAGGATGACCAGTAGGAAAAAAATTTATAGGAACGTGTCATCTTATTTTTTCATGTTCTATCTGAATCCGAGAGATTTCCCACATTTTCCCGGACACCCTGTATATTATACGAGTATTTTCGTTTATTATATGAATTTTTGCCAAAATATCGTAAGCATCAAAACATTTTGTTTGGAAGTCTGTTTTAAATTATATAATATATAATATAATATTATATTATAGCCTATAGGTTTTACAACAAGTATATGGGTAAAATTATAAACTATTTAAGAATTGTTATTTTTATTTATTATTTTATGTACCTAATGTTTAAAATAAATAACTTTTTCTACTCCCACCTTTAAAACGCCCATTATCCCACGACACTAAGTGACCTTTTAAATACACAATGACAAGCTGCGGCTTTACAACGTTTTAGTCACGGACTGAAGTTAGCAACAGGTCTTTAGTCACGGGCTGAAGTTAGCTTTAAGTTATTTGACAGTTGTCAAATTTCATACAATAAAGTGCCCTTCTAAAATAATACTAAATGTAAAATTTATTTTATTATCTCAATACAAAAATTCAAAAGCATTAAATAGTTTCTCAACGCCAATATTTGAAGCGTTTATATGAACATTGTACTGACCTTTTAATTTCACCGGCAGTAAACTAGATATAACTTAAAGTCGGGCTCGGACTTCACCGTGAAGTGGTAATAAAACATTTTCTTCACTTTCACTGTAAAAAACTGTTGTTTAATCAATTTTTAAGGAATATATTTTGATTTATTATAATAGATAATTATCTATGTTTATAAAACATACAAATTTGACATTTGACATTATTAGTAGAAAAAGTATAGTTTATAAATTTTTCTAGGGACTCATTAATTTGAGCCCTTGCTGGCAAGCTCGCTCGTGCCTAAATTAAAATGGCATGTATCAAACTTGATGCACAATATACTATTATAAATTTGTATTTGTATTTTTATAGCTCTTGACCAAAGTAGGTATGTATAATGTATAAAGAATAATCAATTATATTAACTAACATTTTTTTCAAAAGTACTCGTACTCTTTACTCATGTTTTCACGATTACTACTCGTAACCGTAACCTCTCTTTACAAATGTACTTACGAGTAAAGTACTTACGAGTACTCGTACTTAAAATTTTACGAATACTTTTTTTAGTACTCGTGCCCAGCTCTGCAATCAGGAGGTCAAAATTATAAAGAAAACATGTCACAAACGTAAATATCGGTTCAAATTTAGTTTTCGCAAATTTTCAAGAAAATGTCATTTTGAAAAAGTAGTCTTTGCTTAGGCCCCTCTGAAAATAATAAGTTTGTTGCTTGTCGCTTGTTCAGAATTATTCAAACAGCAAACTTTTACCATTTTATCTTCTAGTTCTTAAAAAGACTGAGTGTATTGCCTACCAAAAACCCTTAAATGTACTCTTCTAATCATATTTTCGTTGCTAAGAATCTATTGCCTAAATATTATTTTTCCATCTCAGTTGATTATAACCTTGCAACGACATTGCTTTGAGAATATGATATTAATTTTTAAATTGTAGCATTGGTACAACATTATTTAAAAGAATGTTTCTATGCAATGGTACATTAATGTTGCCCTAAACTTGTGTAATGTTTCGTGTTCAGTGTGATAATTATTTAAATGCAGGGTACTACATGGATAACAAAATAAAATGATATCAAATTTTTTTGTCTCAAACAAATTATCTGGAATGTAAGTAAAATCACACAAAAATTCCACCCCTCCCCTAAAGGAAATCCTGGATCCGCGCCTGCATAATATGTTATGATAATATTGTATATATTATATAATATTATTAACAATTTTATTTAAATATTTTGGAATAATATTCTTAAAAATTGAATTAATCTTTTTAAAGGTAACCTGAGTGAGAGACAGTTTTTAAATGTCTTATAAATATGGTATTTTGCCTAGAAAGCAAGTTTTTTTCACTAATAGAATATAATACATTACACCAGTTTAAGGTTAAATTTCGTGCTTATTTAAAAAAAGGGGTAGTTTGAAATATTTATTTTTTTACTGCAACTATAAAGATTTGGAATGGATTTGACTTTAAAAAACATTTTAGCTGCATATTTGTAATGAATTATTTTGTGCATTGTTTCAAGATTTTATGCATATAAGAAAAAATTTTTTTTTGAATAAGCATGGAATTTTACCTTGGAATTAGTGATTCTGGTTATATGAGGGACAACTTTGTCGAATATTATAAACTATTGTTATCTAACTAAAAGCAAAGAAAGTTAAATTATAAAAGTTAATTTCTTACTATTATTCAATATTAAACATTTTTTTCATGTAACCAAATTCATACTAAATAGGTGTCACAACCTAAAAATTAAAAGTATCATACCTATTAGGTTTAGTTTTGAAGATAATTAATTTTATTATTAGGTAGGTACATATTTCAGTTAGGTAGCGTTTCACGAAATTTTACAAGAATCCACGGACACATCATTGTTTTATTTCTAGAAAATAAGACGAAATTAGCATAAAATTAACCTTAATTATTTTGATCAAAGTCACTTGGTGAGACTTTTGGGTGGAAAACATTATGATAATACCTACTTAAAACATAATTTTAATCCAGTGAAAGGCAGGGCGTGGGTAAGCCTCGGTTAGAGGGTACACAAAAAATGATAAAGGAAAATAGGATTTTCCCTGGCCTGCCCCCTTAACAAAATCCTGGCTAGGCCCTTGCAACAATACAAGTGTAGATCTGTAATATGATATGCCTTGGAGAAGGTTAGTCCTAGTTTATATATACTTAAAATTTATTTTGGGAGAGTCAAATTTGTTAAAATGAAATTTTTCATAATATTATAAACATTAAATATTCAGAGTTTGTTTTATCACTATAAAATTTGTTAAAAATACGGTATGAGATTTCATAATTAATATTTTAAAATTACTTAAAAGTACGTAGTTAAAAAAAGACCCACGTTTTAGCACTATTAATCATGTATTTTTTAAATTAATTTTCTATTTTTAAAGTACAAAAGTGAATTTAAAAAAAAAATGGTCTAATTAAAATTTAAAAGTTTGCATCTCTGTAGGTTTCAAGGCAGAATAAAACAATAAAAATATTCAAAGCAATGTTTTGCCACTATAAATTTTGTTAAAAATACTATTAAATATTGTTTTGGCGTTAATTTAAATAATTATTTAAGCAAAAAAACTGACACTTTAACACTGGTCTGCCCCGGGCCCTCGGACTAGGGTAAGTTAGAACACAAAAAATGTATAAATTGTATTATTTATAGAAAATAACACTAATTTAGCAGAAAATTAACCTTAATTATTGTTATCATTCACATGGTGGGACTTTTAGTTGTAAACCATTATGATAGTACCTACATATTAGAGGCGCGAATTTTAAGCATAAAACATAATTTTAGGAACTTTATAGTTAAATACACTGTTAAAAATGGTTTTATTGCAAATAAAACGGTTAAATCTGTCAAACAAATTGGTTATGTTCATATATTTAGCAAGACCACATACGTTGTTTCAACTTAAAATAAAGTACAAAAAGGAAAGCTACTTTAGCTTTCCTATTTTTATTTAACGCGAACTAAATGTAAGACAATCCGAGTCGCACCCTCAGAATCGACCAATAAGAACCACCTGCAAACGAGTTATAACGCGTCTGGACGTTTTTGTTTCGTCCGGCTAGGACTTATATACACTTTAGATTTTCTCTTAAATTATCTACCTTTTTTTTATACTTATACAATAGCCAAAACTCCCTCTCACCTTCTTGTCGTTCTTGCAATATTTTCTTGTAATATTCACTTGTAAAGTGTCATTGTAATATTTCGTGGAACGCACTCTTAGTGAAGACGTTTTTTACATAATAACGCAAAAAGAAAAGTGACAGCAACCCATTCCTTTTTTATATAGTTTGGAGGGTGGTACCAGATGCAACTCGTCCTCCTCCTCTTCATCATCCCCTGATATGCTCATTTCTTCAATACTAAAGGTATCAGTCAATTCGTGGTGAACACGCGACTCTTTTCTCGATAACGGAAAGAAATTTACTATGTCTTCCTCGCTAAAAAAAAATTAAGTAAATTAAATAGTTGAAAATGGTGCAAAAATGGCGAATGAGCTGGAAAAATATTCCATGCCAAATTAATCTATACATTAAAATTTTATATTTCGTTACTGTTGGTAATAACTATTACCGCAATGTTCATAACTTCATGTAGCCGTTGAAAATACTCAAAGGCAAATGATTTAAAGAAATTTGAATATACCATTTTAATACGTCAATAAGAATTAAACTCATAGTTTTTTGAGGAACCTGAAAATACAAAATTATGGTAAATTTTGTTTCTACATTTTCCCGCGAAGAATAATATCTTTGTTGTTTATTTTTGACAATTAACATGCTTTTTGTTACTCGCAAGAATAAAATTTCCAATAATTTATGTAATATAAACAACGCAGAAATAAAACTTGTTAAAATTTTTGCATTATTGGATTCCTAAAGAAGCGCCACATGAATCTGCGTGAAAAAATGTCCAGGTCATGTACCAATTCTAGCTAAAATAAATGGATAAATTGTCATAAAATCATTTAATTGTGTATACTTTTAATAAACCGTTGTGCGCCATATAAAATTGTATTGCCGTAAATGCTTATAAATATTAATTTTAATAAAAATTTCTAAATTTGAAGGTAGCGCAAAAATTATCAAAGGAAGTCTATAACTTTTTTTGTAATTGAAAAAAATCGGTTTGACCTTTACATTTTTTTCTGTCGCCATAGTTAATGCACATTTGGGCGCGTTTAAGAGCATTTTTAACAAAAGTTATCACTTAATTTCCTAAGGTTTTAATTTTTTTAAACGAAAAAAAAATCGGTTTTGTTTGTAAATAATTGTTGGACCTTTATTTTTGCCCTAATAATTCGAAAATATAATATTGGCAAAGTGGCTGCCGCCATTTGGGCACGTTTTGGATTATTTTCTTCTACTACTTTTAAAACTTCAGGCAATAAATTTGTTATTTCTATTTTAATGTTGTTTTTTTGGGCCTGACAAGGTCTGTGGCTTATTCACATAAACGCGAGACTTAAATTAACCCCAAAGAAAAACGTCTGGAGCAGTCTGCAAATTACCAAAACTAGACTTATTTCTTTGGAATTATTTCCTTTATGTTAATAAGCTAAAGACCTTGGCAGCCCTAGAATAAAACATTGAAGAAGAAATTGCAATGCCATTGCCCAAAGCATTAAGAAAAGTGATGTAAAATAAACTAACGCGCGCCCAAATATGGGGGTGGTTACTTGACCGTTATTATTTTTTGAAGAAAAAAAATTCTAAACACTGTTATAAATAAATTAGATATATTAACCTATCATCTGTGTCCCATTGCACCAATGGTTGGTGGTCCTTAGCTCCAGGTATAGGAAGTCTCTGGATTGGTATCAGTCCTGTTGTGGAATTATACTCCTGGTGTAGCCTGCGCGCATGCTCTATCCGAGCCTCAAGCTTTCTTTGTAATTGTCTTGATGTTGGCGGTCCTGTAGACCTAGGAGGTGAAGTGCTACTTCCCGCGCTAGACGAATCGCTACCCTAAAAAGTAGTTAAGTATTTTTTGTTTTCCAAAGTTGGCGGTAAAAAAAGTTTCAAGCTGGCAACTTTAGTTTCAATGTAATCCTTGTCCCAATTTTAAATGTCAGGCAAATCCCATTATAACTATAAATATCACGTGCAAAAAAAAAACTTGAACAACGTAAATCCAAATTACCCACACTTATAATAGGTTAATGTCAATTTAATATTAGGGCCGTTTTAACCAATAAATAAATTAAATAATACGCTACAAAAAAATACAAAATATGCACATTAAGTTAAAACAGTTTAAGTGAAACTAAAGCAGTGTTATTCTGCTAGTTAAGTTTGAGTGAATTTGTTTAAGTGATTCTATTTGTTGGTGTTTTGCCAATTTTTTCTTTAATCAACTAAACTTTAAAAATTTAGCCTTTAGTCTACTAACATATTTTCCTTTAATTACATTTGGTTTAGATCCATTCTCTCCATGTAGATCCCCGCTATCTATACCACTGTCTTCCATTACAGATTCCATATGTTTGTTGTTTTAATTTAAATCCTTTAAATTACCCTCTCACATGTTGTCAAACTTTAGCAATTATCTATATTTTCCACTAATTTAATCGAATAATTATCTAAAATTGAAGAAGCTAAATTTATACATAAAAAACACTGTATAAATAAATTTGATACGATGTATGTATACACCACTTGCGTTAAAGCAGGCTTGTGCCCAACTGAGTTGCCATTATCTTGTCGCCGTGGAAATGGAAAAATCAATATTTTGGGTTAGAGGGAAAACTAAACAGCGTTCTGCCTACACACGTTAACTTGATTTTATTCCCTTTTAGTTACAGAAATCTTTTACGGTTATATTTTAATTTTTGATATATTTTTTTATTTCCATGGTAACATGTAAATATTTAAATGTCATTTTAATATTAACTTGTTTTTGTTTATATATTGTTTAAGATGACTCCTCCTTTGCTAAAATCGGTAATATGCTTATTTTTATTTAACAGCACTATTTTTACAATATTATTAACTATGTATTAATCATATTTACTTTTCTCTATATGGACAATTCTCAAAAAATCGGGAATCACGATCAATCAAAATATTTACCGCTGTCGTTATTAAAATTGTGCCTCCACCTAAAAAATTGAAAAAATATTTAAAATCCCCGTGTTTGTTTTAAAAATCACAAAACATACTTTTTTGTAGTTATCTCGAATGCAGTAAAAATAACACCGAACGCTGGATCAGCAAAAAAGTAAATGACAATGTAAATATTTTTTTTCTTATTTTTGCACAGTGTTTAGATAAAAACCTATATTGATGTAAAATAACAGATACAATATACAACCGCGGGTTTTACCAACAATTGATTATAATCAACTGCTATTGACATATTAAATTTGAGGGTTTTTAAAGAAAATTTTTGTTTCAAAAATGTGATATTTTTTTGTTGAAATCGGTCCCGAGACCAACTATATAAATTAAATAATACAGACAACTTTAAACTTTTTTGTTGGAACGATAATACTTATTATTGATAAGTATCGATAATAATTGAGGGGCCTAGAAGTAAAAGGGTTTAAGTGCATTTTTGTTAGTTCTGAGATAAATGGCTTTAAAGTTAACTTGCATTTTAAAATTCTAGAAAAGAGTTTAAAAAACTGTGTGAATATTTTACTTTTGTTTAAAGACTAAAAAGGATTATAAAGAAAAAGGAATTTTTCAATTTCGCTTTTTTGTTAATTTTTTTTACAAAAATGTACTTGAATCGTCATGCATGTAAGACAAAATTTAGTGGTAAAATGATTTAAATGCACAGAAAAAAATCTAACAAAGTACCAAGAACAGCGCTGTCATTGAATGCATTAAAATTGAAGCAATCTAAATTGTTATTTGCTCAATTAATTACTATTAAAAAAAAAGTGAAATTTTTTGCCTAAATGTCAAAGAATTTATTGCGTTAAATATATACATAGTATACATACAATAGTAACGTTATTAAATAAATCAAATTAGTATATAATGCAATAACATTCTAACATTCTAACAAATAAATATCAATATGAATATCAATAGATTTAGGAGCGATAACTTTTGTTGTTAATTTAAAAACAGTAAATGATTATAAACCAAGTGCTAACTACCTATTGGTATTATAGGAAGTGTTATTCATGGCTTATGGGACTTCTTAAGAAGTAAGGGTGGAACTAAAAGAGCACTTTAAAAAAAAATACGGATTACAAGGTCCCATTGGTTTAATGGCTCACCCATTCATGCTATGCTAGCATTTTTTCTGTGTGCAATAACTGTACTAGAACAAAACTTTATTTTTTAAAATTTGGGTAATTACCCAGCAAACACACTAATCCGGCCATGCAATGGCACATTAATGGACCGTTGCATGGCCGGAATAGTGTGTTTGCTGGGAAGTTTTACAACAAAAAGTATTATTCATAATGAGAATCTAATACAACGTTTTCTTCATCTGAATTAGCTTGTCTTGGTTGGGGTTGGTCTAAATTGGATTGTTTTTGGCTCAATACTATGGTCTTAGTTTGTTTCTTTTTTTTTCTGATAGATCTCGATCGTGCTCTAAGTTTTTATAAAATAAGTGGTAAATTGGCGGAATATAGTCCAGTAAGGTACCTAAGTAAATTTTTGTGCTTAGCGGCTTTTTTTAGTTTTTGCTGAAGTTACATGGCCTTCTTCTTCTACTTCATTGATGTCAGGAACATAGTTACTATGTTGAATCCTCATCAGTCTGAACCGATGCTAAAATCGTAACGCTGGCCGATGTCGTTCCGACCCCAGTCACAATATGTCGAAACGAGCTACTTGTCAAGGTTTTAGCAGCATAGATAATAGCCTATGTTTAGCAGTAAAAGGTGCACTTAAATCGTTTTACCAAAGATATATTTTCAAATATTTTGACAGGTTTTTAAAGACGATAAGAAATGGCGCCAGGGAATGTAAAATGTAGTTATATAATTTTACCACTAAGTTAGAATATTCTTTAGGTGTGATATTCTGCACTTGGACCATTTATTTATAAAAGTGCACTTGAATCGTTTTACTTCCAAGCCCCTCAATTATTTTCGTTCCAACAAAAAAGTTCAAAGTTATCGGGGGTAATTACACAAGTGCTTAAAAATTATCGATTATTTTGCTTGAAAACATATTGCTTAAAAAATGCATGAGTTCATTTTCATATTTTGGAAAGAGCCTGATACCGAAGGTGAAGGGCTCTTTACTCAAAATATGAAAATTACTGAATGCATATGCAATATGCAATATGCTTGAATGCAAAATTATCTGATTATTTTTATGCACGAGTGTAATTTATTTAGATAGTTACACGAATAAACGAATTAAATCAAAGAATAAAATTTTCAAATATTTTAATTTCAACACAAAACTTCATTTAACAAATAGTTGATCCCACACATATTTTTTGTTGTTAGCAGTATTTTTGGTACACTATTTTTTACATTTTCATTAATTGATTTGTCACATTAAAATAAAAACTGACGTTATTTTTATTGCCATGGATACGTAGATACAATGGAATTATCGATTCCTAGTAGACAATTATCGCTGTAATCAGGCGATAATTATCTTGTAGGCATATAAGAGGGTAATTATCGGGGGTAATTACACAAGTGCTTAAAAATTATAATTTAATTTAATTTAATAATGATAATTATCGATAATTTTGCTTGAAAGCATATTGCCTAAAAAATGCATGAGATGAGACACCTTCGGTGTCGGGCTCTTTCCTCAAAATATGAAAATGACCGAATGCATTTTTTAAAGGCAATATGCTTGAATGCAAAATTATCTGATTATTTTTATGCACGAGTGTAATTTGTTTAGATAATTACACGAATAAACTAATTAAATCAAAGAATAATATTTTCAAATATTTTTTGTTGTTTGCAGTATTTTTTGGTACAGTATTTTTTACATTTTCATTAATTGATTCAAATGATTCTTTACCAAAACGTGACATTTTAAATAACTGTCACATTAAAATAAAAACTGACGTTATTTTTATTAATTGCCATGGATACGTAGATACAATGGAATTATCGATTATCGCTGTAATCAAGCGATAATTGTCTTGTAGGCATAAATAAGAGGGTAATTATCTGTATTATTTAATATATATGGTTATAGTATATAACATGTTTAAAACAATAATTTTTCTAATGATAACCCTCAAATTTAATATGGCAATAGCTATTATGTTTCAATCTTATATTTGGGCTTAGTAAGATTAGGATAAATACCTTTTTTCTACTCCCACCTTTAAAACGCCCTTTATCGTACATGTTTCCATTACACTAAGTGACCTTTTAAATACACATTGACAAGTTGTGGCTTTATAACGCTTTAGTCACGAGCTGAAGTTAGCAACAGGTTTTTCGTCACGTCATCGTTAAAATAAAGTGCCTTTCTTGTAAAATAATACTAAATGTGAAAAATATTTTATTATCTTAAAAAAAAAAATACAAAAGTATTAAATAGTTTCTCAACGCCAATATTTGAAAAGTTTATATGAACATTATACTGACCTTTTAATTTCGCCGGCAGTAAACTATAACTTAAATTCGGGCACGGACTCCACTGTAAAGTGCTCATAAAACATTTTCTTAACTTTCACTGAAAAACTGTCAATTTTCAAGAAATACATTTTGATTTATAACCTTTATAATCTGTGTTTATAAAATTTAAAAATTTGACATTTGACGGTGACACACAGATTCCCCTATTGTTTTATAGATGGCGTTCTATACAAATTTTTGATTTAAATCATTTTAAGATAATAATAAGTATTTGTCGTAGAAAAGTATAGTATGCACCTCGTTTATAAACTTTTCTATACACTCATTAATTTAAGCACTCGCTGGCGTTTATCAAACCTGATACATAATATACAATTATTGGTATAATTTGAAAACATTAAAAAACAACCCTTCATGAACGGAGAAAAGAGGGATAGTTTAAAGAAAAACACATTTTGCTACAATCCATGGCTTAGGGATATTTAATTAAAGGTATTTTAATCTGGATTAATTATTACAAATTAATAGATTAAATATTTCAATTATTAACTGTAGGTCTTAAATATTTAGAGAATCCAAAAGCTTTTGAAATTTTAAATTAAACCTTATTCCTATAATTAAACAAAACAACTTACAATACATTTTTAAGATATGGCCATTTCCATTCGGATGAATTTTTTCACAGGCCTTCGGCTTGTGTCTCAATATTTCATCCTCATGGAAATGGCCAACTTTTTAATCGTTGAAAAATATACTATTTTAGAAGCTACTAACCAGTAATGTTTTAACAGGATAACTTCCAGTCTTACAAGTTAGCTACCATAACTAAAAATTTTAACAAAAATCGGTTAACCTCGTCTTTAGTTAAAACCTTGGCCCTCAAGTCATACACAAAGCACTCTCAACTAGGATTTATACATATCTAATTCTTAAGAAGGAAATGTGTTTATAGTTTTAATCGATCGGGTTAATCTCCTTAAATAGATTTTTCGATCGTTAGCTACAAAAATATAATATCTCTAAAAAATTATAAAAGGGACCATTTAGATTTGATGTTTGGATTCATTTGGAAAACATCCATTTGTTTTAACAGTGTTTTTAACATCCACTTAGAGCACAAAATGTATTTAAAAGGGTGTTTATATTTTTAGAAAATAAAAATAAAAAGTCGAACAAACATAGATGAATCTGACGAAATAGAAGAATGGAAAAAATCGAAGCAACTACTGAAACCAGCCAACCAATTGGAGTTATCCGATTTGGTAAGCATTAACAATTATCAAATCTAATAAAATCTAATTTTTTACTTTTACTGAAAGGAACTTAAAGAGGTGGTGGAGAAAAACTTGACAGGAGTGAACCCTCAACAACCCGATAGTTTGGTGGAATTTAATTATGCCCTTGGAGAATTTGTACCGGCTCCTACTTCCACTAACACAGTGGTCGTATTTCAACAATTGGGCTCCTTAATTAAAAGGGACACATCTGAGGCCAGAGTACAGATGATAGAAATGGGACTGGACCGTAAGAAATATTATAAGTTGTAAAGAAACTCTCTTATCGCAGAAAACCGTATAACTTTATGGACTTTTTTTATTTTTATTCAGAATAAGTAGGGGAGACCGGGGCGGAATGGGGACGTTTAAAAAATATTTTTAGTAGGAAGCATTTCCACGAAAACGCGGACACAGAAAGCGAAATGTCAATCAATGAATTATGTCATATTTCGTTTAGAATAACTTTAATGGAGGTTTAAATGTGGTGTTCCAACAATACATATTAATATATAATTGATAATTCATGAATGAACAGCTTATTGACATGGCAGACGCACTGACCTTTCATTGAGCATATATCTCTTGAGTTTTTAAGTAACAGAAATCCCGGAGCCAAATAGTTAGCTCTGATTTAATATTGCAATTCATTCATGGTATCTTTAAGTGTATTTCGACGCCGAGAAAATTTTTCTTAAAGAAAATTTAATCAATGCAAAGCATTTTCAATTTTTTGAATTTTTCTTGTCCATACGTTACGAAAAACATACAAAAGTTCGTCTACTGTATGACAGAATTATCAAATACCTTCCAATTTTCATATACAAAGCCAAAAGTTAGCACTTCATAACGTGGAATTTTTTCATATTTTAAAAACAAGTGTAAGTTAATTTTTTTTGCGTAACGGACAGACACCATTGTATTTTTCTCATGTAACCGAGGTGCAAGAAACGACTATTTTCGAGTACTAACTTAGTGATGTACGGATTTAAAGTTTTACATTCATTGCTTACCTCAACTGTCAAAGTAATAAATAAAAATATGTAGAATTATTAATAACATTTGTTATTTGTATATATATGTAAACAATAAATATAAAAACATTCTTGAACATGCAATTTTTAAGAATTTTTTTTCGAAAATTAATTTTGCACATTTTCTCAGTTTATTTGCACATGCGCACATATATTCCAACATACAACATAACCATAAAAATTCAATCGCTGTCAAAACGGACGTGAATATTCGCTTATTGATATTGCTGTTTTATGAATACCAACGAACATTCATCGTTAATTCAAAAAGTGTTCTGCGACCAAGAAAATACAACTTTAAGTCTTCGTTACGAAATACTGGTAAATATTTGCAAGTTGTTTTTGAGCAAAATTTTTGAAACTTGACAAAAATTGTTATATAAAAATCTTGTTTTTCCAGGTCAATGACACCGAAAACCAAAACCTCTGCTTTGACGTCTGCAGAGCGCAAAGCAAGATACCGGGAAAATCTGAAAAAAAGGGGTTGACGTAATGCAGAGGAAAAAAGATCAACGGTCTCGGCTCTTCAGAAAAAACCTTGCTACAGATTTAAGGAAACTAAAAGACCATCGCGAAAAAGAATCTAAAAGAAAAAGAGTTTCAAGAAAGGCTTTATCGCAATCTAATTCATCAATGAATTCAAGCTGTTCAAGCCTTACTCTTTCTTCATATCGGTCCCGTCAGTCATTTAGAAAACCTTTATACAGGGCAAGAAGATCCTTACCCAGTAGCCAAAGAAAAAGAAAAGCTGTTGTCGCTGCCCTCGCTGAAGAACAAGGTCTCCGATTAGTAATATCTCCACTAGCATTTTCAGAAAAAAATCGCAATGGATCGAATGAACAAACAAAAGCAAATGTGCAACAATTTTATCTTTCTAATCAAATTTTGTGGCAATCTCCAAATATGAAGGATAGACTCATTTTGAGACATCACGATAAGAATGGAAGGATACAAAAGCAGTACATCCCCAAACGATATTTGTTAATGTCTCTTTTTGAGGCACACCAAATGTACCTAAAGAAGCACAAAGATCAACCCGTTGGCCGCTCATTATTTTGTGAGTGGAAGCCCAAAGAAATCTGCAGCTTTGAAGACTTGCCTCAAGGTGTATGCGTTTGTCAATATCACGAAAATGTACGCCTTATCTTGAATGCCATGCATCCTTACACTCGAGTTCCACGATCGTTCAAGGAATGTATCGCACATGTCACCTGCGATCAGAGTAAAAAAGATTGTATGACCAACATCGATGAACTCAATCCCCGAAATTTCGTTATTAACGCTTCTGTGATTTCACCAAGTTGCAAGCAATGGACAAGCCAACCACTTTAGAAAAAAATAATGGTTTGGGATTTGCAACAATGTTTTCAACATCTAAAGGATCAGCTACGTTATTTTCTGGAACACTCGTATGTAAAGCGAGCGCAAGCAAAATTTTTTGAAGACACCATCGCCAGCGTCGATGGAAAACAAATTGCACTGCAAGTTGACTTTGCTGAGAATTACGCTTTAAAACAACAAAATGAAATACAAAGTGCTCATTGGTGTCACCAGCAATGCACAGTTTTTACTGCTCATGCTTGGATGTCCGCTAAGGAAGCGCAGAGTTTCGCGTTAGTTTCGGACGAATTGACGCATAGAAAAATCAGCGTTTATAAATTTATCGAACGGCTACTTGAACTAATTACCGAAGATTACGATGAAGTGGCTGAAGTAAAAATACTTTCAGACGGAGCCTCTAGCCAATTCAAGCAAAAGTACCTTTTTTCGAACCTGCATGTTTTTGAAGCGCGCTACGACATTAAGCTATCTTGGCACTTTTTCGCATCAGGTCACGGAAAAGGGGTGGTTGATGCCATTGGAGGAACAATTAAAGGTTCGGTGTGGAGGCGAGCAAAAAGCGGAGCTTTGGTAAATACTGCTGAAAAATTCACATCTATAGCTCAAGAAGCATGCCCTAAGATTTACGTTGAGTTTCTGAGCAAAGCAGACATTGATGTCAATTCCGCAGATCTCGAAGAACACTGGAAAGATCTTGCGACAGTCCCAAGAACGCACAGAATTCTTGCTGTGTTTTCCCTCGCTCCTTACTGGATCAGCGTTGCCGAAGAATCTAATGTGCATAAAGACCGGCGCATCGCTGTCCGCATGAAGTAATGAAGTTCGCGTGTATGCATATTTTGTGTACTTTTTTTTTCGATTTCATTAATTTTAGTTGAAATCGCTTCGTTTTTACATTAAATTGATAAGTTGTAATAATTTGTATCGTTAATTATTTGTATTATTCAGCAATACATGTAATTAATAAAAAATGTAATGTACATTTATTTAAACGTTTTAACAACAACTGAATCTAACTAACGGGTACGAATATGATTTAGTGTTTTTAAATACCGTGATTATAATGTTAAATGTGTATGTCCGTACCTTACGAGACCTTGTCCGTACGTATCGTTTTTATTTTGGATAATTTCCGCAAATAATGAAAAAACTGAAAAATCAAATCCTTAGTCACAAATAGTATCGTGATCTCAGTTCTTTGGACAATCCAAATTTGATTTGAATTCGGAGGGAATACAAAATGCGTGTCTTCGGTGTCCGTACGTTTCGCTTTTTATACTGGTACTTGCGTTTTCTTTTGAAAAATTATTTTTATTGCTCACATAAGCCTATTTCATGGAAAATTTACTGCTCTTTCAGATGGCGTCAAGCGTTTTTGTGTTAAACTTAAATAAGTAATAGTAATTTAAACATTTATACGTTAAAATGCGTACGAATGTCCGTACGTTACCCTAGGGTAGAGACGTGGTACAAATTTAAAAAAAAGCAAAATACAACAAAAAAAGTAACATAAATGTTTAACAATTTTTTTTTATTATCTAATAAAAAAAATGTCCTTTACTCCAACATTTTTGGCACTGTGTGCATAAAATCTAACCCTCAAATGAAGCTGAAAATGGGTATATACAATATATATATCGAAAAGTTATAAAACTAAACACAATTTCACCACGTTTAGTCTAAAACACACTAAAACGTTTGTAGTAACCCGGTTGTCATTACCAACTGATGTGTTGGCCTTCTAGTAAATGATAACAAAGGACACCGTTCTTCCCCGGTCTCCCCTATTTAATTAACTTTATATACCTATATTTCTAAAAAAGCTAGATAACCCTACAATTTATGCGTTTACACGAAAATGTGAATAGAACATTTGTAAATATCCATTGTTTTACATGTAAATACGAAAATATATCCATTATAAATTATAATTTTGTGTTGATAACACATTTTCATAACATATAATGTCAGTTAACGACAAAATAATAATTATAATAAGTAGAGTTTCTGAATACACTGTAATTTAAAATTTTATTATTTTAAAGGTTTAAACGGTCTTAATTTTAGCTGATGCAATTGATGACGATGATGACACAAAAACCGAAATACTTCCAGAAGAAGAAGAAACCGTGGAAGACGAAGAAGAAGAAGTTGAGGAAGAAGAAAATGCCGGCGAAGAGGATGACGAAGCTCCTCCCCCTCCTCCTCCGGAAGAGCCCGAAGAAGACGAACCTGAAGTAATTATGCCGGCAATTTCTCCATCTAAAGCGGCAGTTAAAATTGGTGGACGACCAAAAAAGTTGGTCAACTCTTTTAATTTTTCGGAAAGGGCTGCGTTAACATACAATAACCCAATGAGAGTAAGTATAACTAAAGACTTTTCAGTTAATAAATATCGACTTTAAATTCACGAAAACAATTTCTAAAACAATTGTTATTTTTTATTTATCATAATCATACTTTGGACAGAAATGTGTTTTTTTTTTTTTAATACAAGTTTAAATAGATTTAGAGGTGTTTAGCTAGTTCATCCTTATTACGATTTTGCAGTATCCGTGTCTGATCAAGTTTAGAAGAAATAATTTAGAAATGTTTTTTGATCATTAATTACTTTTTTTATACAAAAAAATCTAAACCTCGTCTTTTTTACCTAAGGGTTTCATTTGACATAAAGACCAACCATTTTTTTTTAATTGAAGAACAAGATATTTTTACTTTTTTTAGTCCCAAGAAGTTCAAACAACTCCTCCCCCTCTTGCAACATTTTCCGCAAACGTCCTTCAATGGGTTATTTACGACGCATATCAAGCCGACTACGAAGCTCAGCAATTGGAAAAAGAGTTGGAAAAGGAGAGAAAAGAAAAAGAGAAAGCTTCAACATCAAGAGCTAGACCAGTTAGAAAGGCAGGAAAAGTCCAACTGAGTGAAGCTGTTCAAGGAAGAGTTTTGGAATGTTGGAGGGTTTTGGAACGAATGATAAACTTGAATTCATACACTGAAATTGCGAAAGGTTTAAATTGTCAACTAAAAATATACTTTTTTAACTTTATTTTTTAGATTATAGATACTGGGATGATCCTTCCGATGAATTTAGAGTTGAAGAAGGAACCTTACTACCTTTATGGAAATTTATGTATGACAAAACTAAGACCCATACTGTTACAGACCTGGATTGGAATCCTTACTACTACGATTTATTTACAGTTTGTTTTGGATTTTGTAATTTTTAAATTAATTTTATAAACGTTGGTATAATTATATTTTTTCAGTCGATTTTGTTAAACCAATAAACAACGGTGCCGTATGCCTGTTCACCATCAAAAATCCATCTTTTCCTGACTATATCTGTATAACTGACTCGGCAGTCATGTGCGCTGATATACACCCCAAATATTGTTACATGGTGGTAATTGGTCAGTATGATGGTGCTGTATTGGTATTTAATGTACAACAATCCTGCAAGGACCCTATTTTTAAAAGTAATAATGTTACCAATAAACATCGCGGTATTGTTTGGGAGGTAAAAAGATATTAAAAACAGGAGTATACACTTATTAAAGTAACAAATGTTTATAGATAAAATGGGGTCCTGATTTGCCTGACGGAGAGCTGAACTTTTTTTCAGTATCAGCTGATGGTAAAGTTAATAACTGGGTTCTTATGCAAAATGAATTGATGAGGCTTACAATAATAAACTTATACCTCGACCAAGAAGCAGTTGCAGGTCCAGATGGCACCAAATTTCGTCTAAAAAGTTGCGCATCCTGCATTAAATTTCATCCTGATAATCCACAAATATACCTTGTTGGCACAGAAGAAGGTTTAATTTATAAATGCAGCACCCAATATAGCTCACTATACTTGTTAACGTACAAAGCACACGATTTGCCGATTAGTAGAATGGATTTTAACAGATACAACAGAGATATTTTTATTTCTGCCAGCTATGATTGGAGAGTTAAAATCTGGGACGACCAAAGACTGTAAGAATATAAAGAGTTTTTCGATTAAAGTGATATGTTTTAAAATTTTCCAATGTCTTCAGTTAAGGTTTACCATTTTACCACAAATAGACGCCCTACCAACAAATAAAATATTTTACAATTTAAAAAAAAATAGTATACATGGTGCACCGAGGGGTGCACCAAGAATCCTTTTATGTGTATAATTATATGGGTATATTTTTATTTAAAGAGCTACAAGGTGACTTAAATTAGAGAAAAGTTGCGTAATTACAAGCCTTTTAAAATGAAATTTTGGAAAAAAGCCAGCGGTTCTCAAAATATTGGAAAATAACTAAAAACAAAAATCTGTACTCCTGGTAATTTTGAAACAAAGTAATTTTTACATGTTAACATATACATTAATCTACATTTTTAACCAATTTCTTGCTATATTTTGAGTTACCAACATTCTCTTTTGTTTTTATATTGACAAAAAAAAACTTCAGCATCTTCAAAATTCTTTTTTAAGATTAATGTTTAGTCTAAGAAGAAGATATTAAATAAGTCATAAACCTACTGAATCTGGGTGGTTGTCTATGAATAGGAGAATTCTGCATATGTGCTTTTTATTATCAAATTTTGAAATATAAAAGTCCAAAATATTTGCTTGATAAAATAAGATTTAGAACTTTTGTTCCTAAACATAAAAAAGAAATTTATAAACGCTCATTTACATATAATATATACAAACTTGTTAATACTTACAACCTCTCAAACTTTAACTTATCTGTGAAGTCTTACAAATGTAATCTCAAAAGTTCCCTTTTTCAGCAACAGGTTATTTAACTTCTTTTTGTGCTTTTTACTTAGGTTTTTTTCTCTCTTTTTGACTTTATTATTACAATCATTTATGGTTATACTCTTTATTTACTTTAATTATTTATATTATTACTTTCTTATTAGTCTTGCAGGAGATACGCAATCAGATTCCAAATCTTTGGAAATCTGAGCAATTCTTCGTTTACTTCTCTATTAAATTTATTGTCTTATGTAATTTGTTGGGTAATAAATATATATTATTATTATTATTATTATTATTATTGCCGCCATAACTTACGTAGTTTGATACATCGTTGGATTTCTTAATTATTTTTCTTCTTACCACGTAAAATTCCATTATGGAGACCTAAGAAAAATAAGAGTGTGGTGGTATCTCAAAATTCAGTAGACAAAAAAATTAAAAAGTGTATACAAATGTAAATAAATGAGTATGTTTACATTTAAAACTTACTTTTTTCCAAAATTCCCAGAACGAAGATATAATGTTTTTTTATTAATTATTTGAGAACCGCTGATTTTATTTCAATTTTAAAATGCCATTTTATTGAACTTTTAATTATGCAACTTTTGTCTTACTTAACCGACCTTGTAGCTCTTCAAATAAAAAAGATAGCCATACTTGCACCCTGTATATCTAAGTGTCCCGAAAGTATTATGAAATACTTTACAAGCCGTTTTTAGGGCTAAAAATAGGAAGAAAACTTTATAAAAATGGTTTATTAATATTATTTCTGAAACGATTTTAGATAAAATAATAATATTTTTATATACAAAAAGTTTATATATACAAAAGTGCTCTTTTAGTTCCACCCTTACTTCCTAAGAAGTCCCAGAAGCCAACTGAATGGCTTGAAAGGGGTAGGGGTAGGAACGGACAGCGGGCTTAAAGTCCCCTCCTATTACACAATAGGACAATCACAAATAAACAGCCATACCCCTGGTGGGATTCGAATCAACGACCTCTCCGCTTGTAGTCAGCAGCACTAACCACTAGTCCACCGTCGGCGGTTAAATTCAGCATAAAAAGTTAAGAATCATACAACATTGCATTATTTTATATAAAACCGTTATGGAAATAATCAAAAACCATCTTCAGAGGCGCCCATCTAAGAGGCTCTAGCTCCCTTAGGGGCGATTTGCCGACCCATGTTTATAAGATTTTTTCCTATTTAAGGGTTTAAATACGGTGTTAGATAAAAAAGGGTCTTACATTTCGTTTATTTTTAGGACTAATTATTTTTTAATAATTTAAATATTAAGGTTCAATGCAATAAAAAAGTGGGCTCTGTGCATGCTTTGAAATTAAAATTAAAACAATACAGCAAGTAATTGATTATTTTCATGCTGAAAAATTAAAATCAAAACCTTACGTGACTTATTGTCGAAACAATTTTTTCTATCGACCGACCTAGTCGGCAGGTTATTCGACAGATCTCGGGTTCACCCAGGCACGAAAAATTTAAATTTGACTACCAAGCTCATTTCGTATTTTCTTGAATAAAATAATGTTACGCGAGTCAGAATATTTAAATAAAATATGTATTTAATAAACATGAAACAATTTCGCATGTTTATTAAAAAACTGGATTAGATTTTCTGAGTGGAGGTTAGAAACGTCGTGGCCGCATGCATTTAGAAAATAGCTGTCTAGAATTATTCCCAAGTATTTAACTTGGTTTGTAAGTTCCAGACAGGTTCCAAATAACGGGCATTTTGAGAGGAGCCAGTTTCTTTTTTTTTTTGGTAAAGAGAATTAGTTCCGTTTTACAGGATTAACATAGAGGAAATTCCTATTACATCAGTTTTCAAATATGTTTAGAGCTGTTTGCATTAGATCGTAAAGGGTGCTCTCAATTTTGCCTGTTAGCATAATAGTGATATCATCTGCATAGCCAAAGGTGGTAAAGCCCTTATTAAGTGATTCTAAAAGATTATCAACAACTTAATTTCATAGTAGTGGGGAAAGTAGTTCTTCTTGCCTCTTACCACTTTTCTGATTAAGTGTAGCATGTGCCCAATCCATGCAAAAAGCACAAGGATTTAAAGGCCTTCTTTTTTGTACAAATGTTTAAGTTCTGAGCCAATCATTAGCATTTCTGGAAGACTTAGTTTTTTTAAATAGCTTTTATCTTAGCCAGTTATTTCGAACATCAAGCTTTTTTCACTTAGGTAGTGAAAGTTAATGTAATTGGACAAGACTGTTCATACGATGTTCTAATCACAATCCACACAACAAGGTCTGTTCTACTCATGCTAAAAATACTAAAAATCACTGCAACACTGCACAGAGTTTAACGGCGGCCATTTTTGTTGTTTACAATTCTTTTGCTTTGGGTTTGTGCTGTTTAATAATTGTTTTAAACGTTGTGTTTCTTACAGAGACACTTGTAAGCCTCAAATAAGGCCTTTAAGTGCTAAGGACAACCATCTTACTCCTCTTTTATAATAAATATACCATATTCTATCAGGACTGTCAAATGACAATTTGAAGGATAATTTGTGGGTTATAATTTAACCTTAAAATTGACATTTGACAGTTTTATGACAGCCCTGATAGAATAAAGTTTATTTTTTACAATAGAGGAGTAAAATGGTTGTTCTTAGCACTTTAAGGACTCTTTTAAGGCTTACTATGAGAAACACAACGTTAAAAACGATTATTAATCTGTATAAACAGAGCACAAACCCAAAGCACAAAAATTGTAAACAACAAAAATGGCCGCCGTTAAACTGTGCAGTGTTGCAGTGATTTTTTGTATTTTTCGTACGAGATAGAACAGACCTTGTTGTGTGGATTGTGGTTCTAATAATGTTATGCATGTCAAAAACAGTCCTGTTTAAAACATCCCTGTCATTGAGTTAAGTCGGTACAGGCAAAGATATTATCTTTGGGTATAGGCAGGAAGGCCCGAGGCCCCCGCACAATGTAATTTTATATAGCTTTATGTCTGTTCTTCTTTTTTTATTTTAAATAGCATGTTGTGGGTCTTAGAGGTTAAATTGTATTAAAACACCACTTTACACTTTCACAGTTTTTATTGTTGTTAATTTGAATGATTAACAAGACAGAAATAATATTAACGAACAAACAAAATTAAGTGTCAAAAAGGCTTCTGCTAATGTCAGGACCACAGGCAACTACAGTACTCCCCCGCTAGCGAGAGCGTTACTGTAAAAATCTTCTTGGAATTTTCACTCTTCTTCCCCGCGAAGTTTCCTTCTCTTGGTGGACTGGCGGTGTGCAACTGACATGGTCGTCGGTGTCACTACTGTCGTCGTTATCAGGAGTAAAATTTTGAAAATTGTCATTTAGGGTATAGGCTGGCTTTAACCTATTTATTGAAATATTTTTGGTTTTTCTGTTTATGTCGATAGTATAATATTTGTCTAATTTTTGGAGGATTTTGTAAGGACCGTCATAAGGAGGTTGTAGGGGTTTCCTTACAGCATCATGTCTGACAAATACAAATTCAGAATTTTTTAAATCAGGATGTATGAAAATTTGTTTGTTACCATGCATAGGTGTCTGAGTAGGGGTCAGTTTACTTATGTAATCTTTAAGACTACCCAAAAATAAACCTGGTCCATGATTTTCAGTAGGCTGCAAAAATTCCCCGGGCAATCGAATCGTATTTCCGTACACCATTTCGGCCGGACATGAATTTATATCGGCTACGATGCTGGCTCGCAAACCTAATAATACAGTGGGAAGTTTCTTAGTCCAACGATTTGAAGAGTGGCATTTAAGTGCTGCCTTAAGGGTTCGGTGCCATCTTTCGATTTTACCGTTGCACGCCGGATGGTAAGCAGTTGTTCTTGATCTGGTTATGCCCATGATTTTGTTTAACTCTGCAAATAATGAGGATTCAAATTGAGTTCCTCTATCAGTTGTTACTTTACTAGGACACCCAAATCGAGATATCCAACCATTATAAAATGCTTCGGCAACGGTTTCAGCAGAAATATCGGAAATGGGTATGGCTTCTGGCCATCGCGTAAACCTATCTATCATTGTCAAGCAATATGAGAAACCACGAGAAGTTGGAAGGGGTCCTACTATATCGATATTAACATGATCAAAACGTGCATCAGGAATGGCGAATCTGCCGATTGGACTAGCATTGTGTTTCCACACTTTAGATTTTTGACAACTTAAACAAGCGCGTGCCCAAAGTGCACAATCTTTTTGCATCTTTGGC